AAATAAACATTCGTCTGGTAGAATCTCAATGGAATTTTTTTTAGCCTCAAGTAGCTTTCAACAACTAATGAACCACTGATACAATGGCGCTTTCTTGAAGGGTGGTAACCATCCTTATGAGAACAAAATGAACTCCCAGTAGAGAAATCTCCATCACCTGAAAACGCAAAGAATTAACATCAGCTAACTCTGTCAACCTTATTCATCAACACAGTGGTTCAAGAACATTTTCATTTATTAATCTTCTCTTAGATATTTTTGTTCATTGCAAAGGAATTTACAAATCAATGTTACGTACGTGAAATTAGTTATACATGTAAGTATTTTCCCTATAGTAAACATTAATTCATCTAAGGATCTTAGACAAGCAATTTTAAATATAGAAGGAGAAAATTAAGCTCTTGCATACCAGATTTTTTTATTTTTTTTTATGATAAGTAAGCTCTTGCATACCAAATATTCAACCAGAATTGCACAACTTCAATCTGTGTGAGACAACTCCATACTCAAAATAAAATGAATTTCCAAACCAATCAAGAAGGGAAGTACATTTTAGCAAAATCGGTAGGAAAATTATTCAATTCCCAAACTATGGTATTCATGTACAAAATCCACAGCGAAAACAGTATATTAAAAACTTATAAATAATGGAAGAAAAAGATTTAAAAGAAACTAACCACTGTAATTAACAAGAGTAGACATTGCTATTCCTCACAAGAAAACCCCAAATGAGAGCTCAAAAGATCAAATATTTCAGCACAAACAGCAAAACCCATTTCAGCCAAGATTTGAATTCCAGGACAAATATATCCAAAATTTTCTTCAGTTTCGTGCTGCACGGAGCTGGGAGCGTGAACTGGAGAAGAAGAGCCGGATGGCACGAGATTTGGGGAAAGAATTTGGAAGAATCGAATAGAAATCAAGAGAATACAAGAAATTAGGGTTCTAAATGCGAGAATCGAAATGAGCAAATGAGTTTCTCATTTCTTTGTATAACGAGATAAATTTGTATACCCACCACTAGAAGCGTCTGGCAAGATTCCGCTTCCTCGACTTTGGCTAACGCAATGGCTACCAGAAGGAACTTTTCATCGCCGCCAAAGGAATCTACACCGGTCAGTTCATTTACTGTGGGAAGAAGGCCAAGCTTGTGGTCGGAAAAGGGGGGAGAGAGAGAGACGGGAGGAAGAGAGACAGACGAAGAGAGAGAGAGGGAGACCGGAAGAAAATGTGAGGGGAAATGAAGGAAAAACCACACAACATCCAAACAAATCGTTTTGGTCGACGATATAATTTGTTGACACGTGTATAGTGAACAGTGCCTTTCAAAGTGCCTCATTTAGTATAGTTAGGATTAGGATAATATTACACATAAATTGAAATTTTTTCTCTTTTTCAACCATCTATTCTTTAAAAAAAAAATAAAAAATTATTCCAAAATTTTTTTCTCTTCAATAAAATAATATTCCATGCAAATTTAAAATTTTTTCTTATTTTTAATCACATATTTTCCATTACATCATATCACAAAATACATTTTCTTATCAATAATACACATCAAACACCCCAATATTTGGGGGTCGAGGTTAAAAATCTTGACTTAGCCCTTTATTTGAGCCACATTATTTTTTTCATTTCCATTCTTTTACTCATTTTCAACCACATATTTTTTAATAAAATAATATTTTCCTTCGTATTAATAATTTTTCATTTTTTTCGACCACATATTCCTCGTCATGTCAAATAAAAAAAAAGCACTGTTGGACTCAAAATGTGGCTTTGTGGCTTACACACGGACGCTGGATTATCAGCGCGGGAATAATTCCTTCTACAGCCCGCTGACCCGTCTAACACCCCTTCCCGCAGGCTTCCCCTGCAATCCTTCCAAATTTCTATCG